ACATACACATACACACATACATACATACATATACACATACACACAGTATTTGTGGTTACATTTATAAAGATCACATTAGAAACTTTAGAGTTTTTTAGAAATTAAAAAACTAAATAATGTTACACTGGGCTTACCTGGGCTCCCTGCAATGAAGCTGTTGCATTCCAAAACTTTTTTGCCTCTTGGACGATACTTTCAGGAGTGATACCTACATGGTGTAAAAGAAAGTAAAAAGAAGAATTGTAGCAGTGAAAAAATAGTGCAAAAGGTGTTCCTTGTTGGAAAGTAGGAAATAAAAGAACATATTGGAATAAAAGAACCCTGGGATACAGTTCTTCTGAATATTTTATCAATGTTCTAGTCCTTGGACAAGTGTTTTAAACAGTTTACCGAGCTCATGTTGCATCATCCAGACCTTCAGCTCGATGAGGCTGTGGGCGTAGAAGCAGTCGTCCTCTCTCACGCAGCCGTAGCGGACTTCATGGCGACAGAGATCCAGCTGGCAATGAGGACTCAATGGTCTGATTTTGGAATAACGCACTGTGTTCTCCTTCAAAATGTGGACCAGGCACCTGAAAGACAAAACAGGACAACAATGTCTACGTGCTTATCCTGCTCTTACTCCCTCACATATTTGCGCTTGTTTGCTTTGGTTGACTACTTGAACTCTACATTGAAAAGGCAAATGCTGTTTCAGAGCTATAAAACAGGAAATGACTTACTTCTGATCCTCAAAGTCATGCTTCGTCACTGGATGAGAGCAAACTGAAGGATCATCTTTGTTGGTTTTGCTGATTATTCTGGGTTTGTGGTCAAAGCACACCTGCAAATTGAACAAAATGTATTTGGAAAAGTTCAATATTCTATAAAAACAGAATGATCCAGGTATGCCAGCTGCTACAACATTTATTAAACGGAAACAAAAAAGCTCCAATGACATTTCATTTCTCATATACTATTCATCGCATTAGCATTCCTGTATTTAATGGCCTTATTTTCCAATTGCGCTCTGAATAAAGCAGTGCTTAGAAATGTTGTGGCTCATTGTGAACAATCATCTGTTGTCCTGACAGCAGAAGATTATTTGAAACACGTCTTTGAGGTAAATATCCAGTTGCACCTGAACGCTTTCCTCTCACAAAAGGAATGCAACACAACACTGCCAAAGGGCGTCATTGACAACTGCAGTTAAAGAGGTCATACTAGTTTTGAAAGAAGAAGTATATACTCACCCCACAGAGGAACATGAATATCCCATGATGCTCTTGTAAGATCTTTGGGACAGTGAGCCTGACGTTGGAGTTGGGCCCATAAGGATCGAAGAGTAGTTCTCTGGAGATGAATCCTTTTCGCTCCAGAGTCCAAACATCAATCTCTTCCTGGCAGTATGCAAATGTACAGTGGCCAGGATACAGGCACTCCTTCCCAACAGCCACCTCTGAAACAACACAGGTCACATTTTGTTAGCGGTTATACATGACTTACACATTCAACAGCAGCAAAGTGTGAGAGGTAACAAAGAAACAAATGCTCCTCAAATAATGTGTGTATTTACATTTAATAAATAAGGTTAGGTAGGGAAATATACATGGCATGCTGAAATAAAATAGAGGAAGTACTAGTATTAAGTAAATTTAAACATGCCAAGGTTAACTGACTTATCTTTTTTTAATCTTCATTACAAAATGAGGGATCTACGATATTATTTGAATAGAAAAATAAGTTAATAAGGAGTTCATTTTTTACCCATTTAAAAACGTTACCTTTGCAAATGTAATAAGGTCCAACATATTGGGTTTTTGTCGGTCTGGGCCGAATGAGCTTCCATGTTTTGTCTGGCGAATGTTTGAGCCTGCCGAGCAAAGCATCCTTTTTGCATTTATGCTCTTCTGTATGAAGTGTGTAATCTAACACATCAGGCCCTGTGGATTAAAACAAAAAAAACAAACATATTAGAACAAACCTTAAAAGACGCTGATCAGACACACACTGATGCACTGCAAACACAACTGCTCACCAGTTTTGACATAGCACATTGAGCACGCCTGTTTGAATTCATGCGTTTCAGCTAAGGGGTTCTTTGCCAAATCCACAGCAGCAGCAATACCCTTTACTTCAGGCATACCCACAGCCATTCCCATTGGAGTATCATTATTGTTCATCTGTTTAAGAAAAAAAGACCAAATATAAGCCTCTAGACTGACAATACCTAATAATAATAATAATAATAATAATAATAACAATAATAACATGAACAAAAATTACCTGTGTAATGAATGGACTTTGACCATAATCTGACATTTTAAAAGAGAGGAGAAAAGATCAAATGAATAAGCAGGTTAAGTATTAGCTTATCTGATATGTTTGTTATAATATGTACAATATTAACTCTGACCTCATGGTTAAGCAGGCCAGGTTACAAAGTAGCATACCTGTTTTAAAGTCAGTTATGGCGAGACTGTCCAGGGAGTCCAGTGGTGGGGCAAGAGTGTCAAAAGTGTCCATACCAAAATATACACTTGACCCTGACTTGATACTTGATACGTGATACAGCGGGGGCAGCGTTACAGTGCACTGCTGGGCACTGCTGTGGAGAAATGGGTTGATGTGAGATGGCATCAGGAATGGACTCGACATGGAATTGCCTGAGGCAATACTGGTTGGCAAAGGAAGAGGCCCCTTCACTGTGGGTATAACCTGAGGGAAGAGATGTAAAGTCATATTTCTTTTCAGATATTGACACAGCGTCACATTTTATTCATCAATGAGACCCTGCGGTCAGATCTGCTCACCAAGGGTGATTCGGGGCCAGCTTGGTCCAGTAGATCATCTAGGTCGTCCCCAATGATGTCTGCGTCAAAATCTTGACTGGTTTCAAGCATCGGGCAAGGCTTACTGGTTCGACACCCATTAACAAATGTGGACACAGAGAGAGGGACAGACGTGGGTACAGACACAGGCAAGGCAACAGATTCGAAGCCGGGTGGCTCAGAGAGGGTCACAGATGAGATACTATCTACCACTGCTTCATTTAGAGGCAAGTGAACTGCCACTGGAGCTTGGATTGGAGCTGGGACTGGAGCACTGCCATCCTGGGTCAGCTGAGGCACTTCTATAACACAATGAGGAGAAACGGGGTGAGTGACTTTTGCCCACTTTTTAAATTGTATAAAAAATAATAATCAAAGCTGTGTTAAGTATTACACTTACCAACTTCTATATCTTCAACTGAAGACGAGCCATGGGAAAACTGAAGAAATGCAGAAGAAATTAAATTAACAATGTACTTCTTGGGATAGTACCGATACATATTTTAGATTGTGTAGTTGAAAAAACGTTGCTTACCTTGTCACCTGATGCATCTTGATAACTTGATCCTCGCAAAACATTCAAGGCAGGCTGTTAAAATGGAACCCACCCCAATTAACTTAAATTAGATGCAATTATTACTGATTGTATGTTTATCGTACAGTAGGACAAGCCTCTATTGATGTGCAAAAACCATCTGTAACATGTAGAACTAGTTCTTAGAAAAAGAACATATTTCAGACTTAATATGCAGAGTAGGGTCACGACAGTTTGAAATTCATGCGACACACATACCTTACTCCTTACATAAGCTTTACGAATTTTCAATCCCAAAATTTTGGCAAGGTCCTGAGTCAGCTGTGTGACACTGGAATCCTGGAGAAACAGACAAATGAACAGTGTTTATTTAAACAAAGCTTGGACAATCAGTCAACTCAATCACTGCCTTTGATCTTTGTACATTTTACTATGCTCATAACATTATAAAACCCTGTAGAATATCTTTGAACTTTAGATATTCTACATATTACTTCCTGGTAGTAACCAATTATTTTCTGACCTGCTTTCCTCAAGATATTGTATCAAACGTTTTCCTTTCCTCTGCAAAGGATTTTATTTTGTACATGTGTTTTTGTGATATGTTTCTTAAATCAGAAATGATCATTTTACATGTTTTTTAGCAATCATTCTGAAGCTCTTGTTGGTTGAAATTTACATTCAAACTTCAGTATTTTACCATACTGGAGATGAAGTGAGGTCATGTAAAGTTCTCCAGACACTCCTTTCCATATACAGTATTACACAACACTCTAGGACAGTAAAGCAGTGTGACGTGAGGCTTTATATAGGCATAAGTGTGTGTTTGTAAGAAAAAAAATTAATAAATTAGGATTGGCGACTGCAACAAAAACCTGGAGTGGACATCTATAACATAAATTAAACTTGCTGCTAATTACACCAATAAGCTAAATCTTCATCAGTTTTACCTGAAATTCAAACTAAAAAAGGCCACTGACACTAACAGTCATGTGTCATTTTGATTATGAGCTCATCCTTTGCTGCAGCTATTGTCAGTCAACATGCCAGAAACATCATGACTCCACTGGGTATGTGCTGTTCCTGCAGGCAGCCTGGACATTTTAACTATTTGCTTGATTTTTGTCAAATTTACAGAGACAAAAAAAAAAAAGTGTGTGCACATTTTGAATAAATGAACAAAAACACACAGACGTTGGCCCTTACCTGAGGCACTGCTAGAGAGCATTTGGCGACAGCCTCATAGGCCTCTTGATGTCTCCCCATCTCCTTCAAAGCTTTTGCTTTTCTGTACAGCGCTCTGTAGTTCCCCTCATTCAACTGGAGAGCCTTTTCACAGTCTTCTAATGCTTGGTCGTACAGTCCCTGAGAAAAACAGTATGTCCCAGTTAGAAAAGCTATACTTAACCAAAGTGATGCAGTGAACACAGAACAAACAAACCGCTCTTTGATCATAAATTGACTTTATGTGTTCAGTGAGTTAAGTCAGTTATGGGTGTGGTCTCCCAGAAGACAACAGAGTGTTTTTTATTGCAATGTAACATGATTCAAAGAAGCCAAACACTGACAGTGGAGAGGGACTGAATGTTTTTCTGAAAACATAATTTTTCCCCAAATGGAAGTTTTGTTAGTGAATCCTGAGTTTCTCAACTGAGAAATGATGTGAAATATGCCAGCAGTGGCTCAGTCATAACGCACCAAATGATACAGATATAAGAATGTACCACTACAATATATGTGGAGGACAAAAAGTGCATTCAAGTGCAACCGTCGACTTGATGGTATTGGAATTGATAGCCGCCTGAAAAAGTAGTGTTTTTCAAGAGGAACCTCTATGCTTTTATTTGCCACCTTTGATTCAATGCTTTACAACACTAACATGGTACTTGGCTATCAAATGTGTCATATGTGTGTGTGCTGTCTAGAAAAGTCCAGCAGAGCTTATAAGCATAAAGTAAAGAACAAAAGTGTCACATGACCATGCCTACAGTCACTTTACACTTTTGGTGTGGGTTTAACAGACCACAAGACAGGGTTAGAGATAAAGACACCAGACTGCTCGCTGTAGCTAACAGCCTTACAGACATAAGGGTTAGCACTATTGCGACTTGAGACTTACAAGATACAAATTAATAACAGATTGTTGTGAGCCGTGAAGTTTACCCTGGTTTGTCAGTTTGAACAGCATAGAGCACAAGAGATTAAATCTTAGGTCATGTGCTGATGAAAACTGAATGAAATTTCACATACAGCATAAAGGAGGTCAGCCCCACCCCACAATGTAAATTTAACCTGCCCCTTCTCAGCCTAGATGTGAGCACAGGTAAGTGTACCTGCAGGGCATTGCTGCCTGCCGCACCTCCGACGGTGCCAGTGCCGCTGCAGGGTCGTCAGCCAGGAGTCACCCCTCACCGATGTTTCGCCCCTTTAATCCCGGAGCATCTCAGGGTGGTGGGGCAGTGACAGGGACATCTCCCTGCAGCTTAGGAGTCCTAAGTTCCTTGCTTCCCCCATGCTCTGTCTTTCGTGCGGAGCCAGAGCCAAAAGCTGCCTTGTTCTGCCTCCTCCGCCAGGTCCTTGGTCGCTTTCCTCAGCTTGGATCCAGTGATTCCGAGGGACGCCATGAGCCGCTGGGTGGGGGTTCCAGCGAAGCCTCGGCACCCGATCTCTACTGGGAAAACGACTGCCTCCCATGTCGTCCATCTCCCTTGTTGTTGCTGGCTGATGGCTTTGATTTTGTAGCTCTCCTCTTCGATTTTAACAACCTCTGAGATCACCAGGTCTTTCCTTTCCTTCCTCGAAGCCTTGGACCACATCTTGGGTGCTGGTCCCCATCCGAAGCCAGACCTCCCTTTCTGCTTTAGCCCAACGACTTCCAGGTGTTTCAGGCGTGTTATAGCCTGGTCGACGGCCTTTGCAGCATCCCACTTGCGTCCTGTGTGGACTTGGGCCTTGGCGTTTTGGACAGACGGGTCGGGTGAGTCCCTGAGTTTGAAAATTAGTCTCACCTTCTCCTGTCTGTAGCCCAAGCTTATCGATTTCGCCCTGGAAGAAGTCCAGGGCGAAGTAGATGAGCTGGTGGGGAACAGACCCATAGGCATTTGCGAGGTCTAGCCAGACCACGTGCAGGTCTGATTTGCTCTGCTTTGCTGACTGTATCTGATCCCAGATCATGTCTGAGTGCTCCACACAGCCGGGAAAGCCAGGGACACCTGCCTTCTAGCAACTGGTGTCTATGTTTTGCCATCACCGAAACGAAGATCTTACCTTCCACGTTCAATAAGGCTATGCCTCTGAATTGGTTGATGTTACGGGAGTCTCTCTTTCGGGATGAAGGTAGGTGGAAAACTGCTCCTTGGCTCCCAATGCCTGGAAGGGGGAAAATTGGACTTGAGGTTTTCCCAGGCGGTGCACATTACGATATATATATATACACATACGATCCGAGGGAGCTCTCCTTCTCACTGTCCCTGAGCTGGTCCTTGATGTGTTCTTCCAGCTCCTGCTCGATTTCTTTTCCTCTAGCAAGCCTCGCGCATACTAAAAGGAATCTCGGAAGAAGCTCGCCCTTGCTTTCTCTTTGCGGCTTCTGCGCTTCCTGATCCGTTCAGCTCTCCTCAGGTGGGCTAGCCTGCTTCTGATCTGGCTCCATAAGTTCTGGAGGCCGTCCTTCTCCTCAGCCTTCGCTCTCCTCTATGCTTTCCGCAGAAGACGTCGCTCCTTAACCAGTTGGAGGTTCTCTCTCTCCCGTCTCCCCATCTGCCTTGGAGTGATGTTTTTCCGAGGCATCTCTCCAAATCTTCCTCTGCCTTCTTCGTAGATGAAATGGCCAGGGATGTTCAGCTTGGACGCTGTGCTGCCCTTTAGGGTGCCCTGGAGGATTGTGTGCAGGGTCCCATCGAAGCTGCTCCATCCATCTGTGACTCCTCCTTGTCTGACCTGCTTGCGCAGTGCAAGTTTGCATCTGGCTGCTGCTGCCACATTTCTTCCTCCCCCGGTGGATCCGCAGGCCCTGATAGGTAGTAATCTTGGACCAACCGCAGCTGCATTCTCTCAGTTCCTTAGTCGTTTCCGTTCCGATCGTTGCCGTGTTATCCGTCCTGTTTGGTCCATCTTCCATCCCGCCTCTCGGTGGACCGCCGGGCTGTCTTTTCCTTAACGTACTCGTAGTTAGTTTGGGGAGTTCCCGTAGTAAGAGCTACGAAGACGTGTGGAAAGGGTAACTAGCCCACTCCACCCCCGGTGCAGCCTTTCCTGCCGTCAGCCAGACTTCCCTGGCAGCCCTCCAGTCTTTCCTGGATGCCAACTGCTCTGTTCTCAGTAGTCACCGGCAAGCCAAATTGCCGGTGACCAGATTAAGACTGTCACACTGGAGGAGCACAGTGTGTCAATGTGGGGAGTTTAAGACTCAAGCCTGCTTCACACTCTCCGCAACCTCTGAAGTATTGTCATGTGCTTTCATGGGAAGAGTTTGCTAACTCTGAAAGTAATACTGGCATAAAGATCCTCTTTTTAGTCTTTTTATGATGCCAAGTGCTTGAAATGGTGTAAAAAAAAGTGTGTGTACACAATCCAAACAGTCTGTGGTTCTTGATAAATGATGTAATGCTAGATTCTAGCGCTTATGGTTGATATATTTAGTCACTGTTAAGGCGTGGACACTTAAAGGGGACTAAAAGGGTGGCTGTTATTTTGCTCTTTTTAAATTATAAATAAGAATACTTAAAAAGGAATCAGATGACAGTTGTGAGTCCTTTCACCATTTTGTTTTGAGGAATATTAAGAATTTCAGACTCTTTCAAGAGACTTCATGCCAGAAGTGAAAGAGTAACTAGCATTAATGATGGCTTTATTCCATTAGGTGTGTCAGGGAGCGAACATGCAAAATACCATGTCCCTGAAACGGGTACACATAAAAACAAAGCAGCAATTATTAATACTGACAGTTACACCCAAGTTAGACAGGTCAAAATGTCTGCCATTAGAAAAGTCTAGGTAACTGTCACAATATAACAAATCTGGAGCTTCAAGAAGCCAATCAAATAAAAGCTTTTTATACACACACAAACTACAGCATAGATCAGGGCAGGAAAACGTGATGTGGTATTATTAACGAGGTAGGGAGAGGTCAAACAAATGTACATTCAACAAAAAAAGGTTAGCTGTTTGGTTATTTTTAAATATTTCGGTCATTTATGATCTATTCATCAACTAATATGTGTCCCAACAAAACCAGGTAATGGTTAATGTTGCCTAATAGGCCAGAAGCAGAGCACCCTCAAAGCTGTTCGGGTTATTTTACATATAAAATTATAAAATAAAAAATCCCCTCTAATCTTTTTGTTCTCGTTACTGTCTGTTACTGTCTGGAGGGAGTATCTCTCTCTGGTATTTGCCCGAGTTACCTGAATGAACTGTATTCTGCTGTTTATTTGTAAATTATTTGTGTTGTCTCTACATCTTTTGAGCAGATTACATTAGTTATGCTTATTGGCTTTTTGTTCACTCGGCTTTTGTCACACTTGCAATGGCTTGTTGAGTGTGGGTGTGTTGGCTCTCTACCGCTTTCTTCCTCCTCCCAGCAGGTATGTCTCTGCTCTCACACTGACACACAGAGCTCAGCAGAGTGGAGGAAAGAGACAGTGGAGAGAGTTAACGATGGTTGCACCGTGCATGAAAGCTTCGCAAGTAAAAGCGTAAAACAAAAGATCGAAACCGTTCAATAAAGCTCAATATAACCGATACGGATCATTGAGATTGGATTGGGACATCCCTACTGGAAACCTTTGGACAATAACTTCAAAACTGTAAAGGTTATACTAATTTACAATATATAGCAAACTATTTTATGTGACCAAAAAGTGCTTGTTGTATTTTGAACTTTACTCATACTATTTAACTGTATTTTATAAACTGTTTGGTGGACAGAAAGAAAGGGAGAAAGGGAAACGGACAGTGACCTGGAATGAAAGAGTGTGACAGTCACCATCTACTTACGGGAACAATACTTAGGTACGCAGCAGCTCGATTTGCATACAACTTTTCCATTAAACCTGTTGGAACACAGATGTCTTCGGAGTCCGCGTAGTCTGCTATACTCAAGGCTTCTGTGTACATCTCGATGGATTTTGTCCATTCTCCTTCTTTAAATACGTCATTTCCTTCTCCAAAAAGATTCCACACAAGATCCTTAATGAACACCTGAAAAAAAAAAAAAAACAGAACCAAATCAGTACTAAATACACACTGCAGCTAATTTGTCCTTTCAGCTTTCTTTACTTAGAAAAACAGTGTCACAGGTTTCCTTTAATGGTACTTGTCCTCATTACAAGTGTTAATGCAAGAGGAAGCTGGAAAACCCACATTCAAATTTACATAGCTTACCTCATACTGCTCTTGACTTCCAGGAAATGGAAGGGTTGATCTAAAAGCAAAAAAAGGTTCATGTGACAAACCTTTAGAGTGTCATCAGAATAAAAAAGACGTCAACTAGAGTAGGAACTAACAGTTTTAAATAGAATTCAGGGCTTATAACATTTCATTGAGTACAGTACTGACTGAAACTTCTCAATTAGTCTACTGATTACTTGTTATTAATCCCTAGTCTAATGAAAAAAAGCCATTCGTCAATTAATAGCTATAGTCCTTCAGTTGATACAGTATATACAGCATTGTCATAGGAAAAAAACTGATGTTAACTTAAGACAGTGACATAAAGACAGAAAGGGGGGTGTGTGTGTGTGTGTTTGTGGTCTGATACGTTGCTGTGTGTGCAGGTGCTGACAGCATTGGCTGCTGAATCCAAACTAGTCAGCAAAAGTGACATTGTGTAAACAACCCCTTCAAAAAATAGATTCAACTCAGTATTAAAAAATATGTAATATTACATATTATCAGTTATTATTTATATGATTGCTGTTTTTGTATACCAAAACATTCTCTCAGTAAATAAGGCTGTATATACTGGAGCAATAATAGAGTAGTATAATACACTGACAGAGAACTAGAGGTACTGCCACGATACATTCCAGCAACAGCTATTAATCATTTAGTACATTGCTAAATCGGGCAGACGACTTGCTTAAAACTAGCTCCAGTATATAATCGAAGAGTGTGCCTTTAAATGTCATTATGGAAAATTGTGCAATAATAACTGTGATGCTGTTTTGTTTGTTGCTGTCTGGCAATAAAAGTTGTCTCTTTGGCATGCTGGACTATGAGGGTAAACTACGTTCTAGTTTAAATTATTATACTTTCATTGAGACATGCTGAGCTCTTTTTCAGATTCCAGCTAATTAAGAATATAGTCACAACACAAAAGGCTGCATGTGAGAGATCACAGCATGTACACAAACTTGTTACATTTAAAAACTCACCAGTAAACGGCTAATGTTGTGACTCAATCTAATTTCTATGTTTCTATTATTTCATTAGTCTTTAGTTTGATACATTATAAATGACACAATCTAAAACAATATGGCCCATTAAAGTGACATCAGTAAAGTTTCAAGTTGATTGCACAGCGATGACGTGCAGAGTAGTATTTTAAGTATCACTTGTTTCAACAATAAAAGGGGCTGTCAGATTAGATGAAATGAAACGCTGCGTTGTCTGGCATAGCCCTAAAAGAATATGTGCCTATACTGCCAGTCTGCCTGATGATGCACGAATACAAAGCTCCGATCAGATCAGGAAAATATCCCACATTAAAAACAAAAACTAAAGTAAAGCCAGCAATCAGCTGTCAGCTGATCTGAAACAACAATGCAGGCTGACAAATCCTTCTTGCATCATCCATAGAGGAACCCGAGCCTTTTGATCAAAACGACCCACAAACGCAGGCGGCAACAGCGGCAGACGAGTACTTGTAGCCGATCAAGCTGATGTTTGCTCTTCAATATGTCCAAGACAGGATGGTGATAAAGACTAGCGGGGTATGGTAACATTAGGAAGTGTCACACACAGCATCAGAACAGTCATTACACTTCACACGCTTACTTATTAGGGTTGGGGAGTATTGTATTAGTGAAAAATCCAGTGACTAAGGGGAGAGCGCCCCCCCGACTTTAACAACTAGTGACCTAAAAGATGACACATACTGGATGAACTGTAGGCCTTTCTGAATCTCCTGCCAGCGACTCCTTCTGTCCTGACACGCCCCAGACATGTTTGCCTGTTTTAATGTCCACTCCTCAGTCAGCACCTGGAATTGATGATGAACAGATATTATTTCCACTTCTGAAAGCCACTGGCACAAACAAAAAAAAACAAACACAAACAATGACAACAAAACCACACTCCTTCCTTATCATCAATCACTCTCAGCAGGTTGTCCAACTGGTTCACTGAGTGATGCTCAGTGTTAACATCACTGAAGTAGAGCTTCACCCTGCCTGCCTTCAATGTTCACAGCTTCCGCATTTAACAATGACGACACGCTCGTAGTTCCGGAAATTAAGGCTCAACATTTTGTGTTAGCTTACGAGTTGATAACGTTAATAAAACTGTTGTTTACCTCCACTGAAAACTCCTTATCTGAAGCTGTGGGCGAATATTGGTGCGTTTATTGGCCCCGGGAAACTGTTTAATCACAACATCTCAGAGGAGGAGGTCCAATATCGGACAACATTTCGACAGCACTGATTAACATTTCGTTTTTTGCTTCTGTTTTTTAACAAGTGTTTCAATAGACACGGATTAAAAAGAAAACATTAGCCTCACGCGTGCTCACAGTTTGTATCGGAGGATTTAACGTTGTTGTGAGCATTTTATAATGTCATTATCATGTTTTCTTAAGGAGGACTGCAGTCACAGCGCACAAAAAAAAACCGCCAAGTCAAACTGTCAACCGTGCACCGCCATAGCCGATGTTTAATAACCATTATAGTGTTCACTGTTTGACTTTACACTTCTTAAAACTGGCTGCCAAACAAACGAGGATCTCGGGTTAACGCACAACTCACGAACCAGGAAGATGGTGATGATGTTAGCTTTTTAGACGGGTGCGACCGTCCAGTTTTGGTCAGCAAAATAAAACAAAACAAGACAACTTTATTCTACAAACACGTATGTGTATAGAAAACGCTCCTATAACAACTCGAGGAGAAAAACATCCTTTTTTTTTTTTTTTTAATCTATAGAAAGAAGTTTTGTGGGTGAGGAAGCACCTTCGTACAGGGAGGTGTCCGATAATGGGCGCACGACATTTAGCGCACGTGTGTCACCCTCGGTTCGGGACCACCGACTCCTAGCAGAGGTTAGCAGTGTGTAGCCCACATAGTTCAAACCCCCTGTCGGCGCAGGGATCAAACTCAACACACACACATGGAATCATACATACATACATACACATACACAGACAGACAGACCCAACCAGCTACAGGACGCTACCCCACCAAGTTTCTAGGAAGTAGACTGAACCTAACAAAGCATAGGCATGTCCAAGTTAAACTAGTTCCCAACGCAAACAATAGCGAGCAGAAGGTGTTTAGCTCCTGCCTGAGACTTGGTAAATATCCCACGCGTTATCTAATAGAGGCTGCCGCACGTACTTACATGAATGGATCTTTGTTCGGACCAAACCTTGCGTCGGCTACCTAAAAGGAGGGAAAGGGATTTTTCCTTTTAGCTAGAATAACTTGGCTAGATGAGCTGTATCGCTGAAGGCCGCCCTTTGAGCTTCTTCTACTTGTGATGTGAGGTAGAGCGAACATGTACTCCAGCGCAGTGCTGCCACCCACACACAGCGGCAGGACCCGGCAACGCTTCACATGAAAAATGACTACTTCAACCAGCATCAATAAACTAATATATAATCAGTGAAGGGCTAGTTACTAAATGCATTTAATATATTACTCATTACTCATTAATATAGTTGATTTATTAATTACTCCCTGCCAAGAGTAATTATTTACACTACTAGTTAAAGACTTTTCTGCTGCTCCCTACAAAATTGGTAATTGTGTCCTTTCTCCCCCAAAATTCAGACTTAGGGTTAGGGTTAAAACCCAGAGTGTGTGTCTTCTTTGACGACGATTAAAATCCAGTTTTATTTGTTAAAGTCAAAGCTGCTGAATGTTTCCATCTTTCAAACTAGTTTCCATCACGATTCCAAAAATAAATCCAAGGATGTGATTGGATTGTTGGATTTCAAATTAGTTGAGGGTGACAACAAAAGTAATGTTGTAGCTGATTATTTTTTGGAGGAGCAATTGTAATATTATTAATTAATTATTAATTAGTTACACTACTAGTTACTGGGAAAGTAATATTATTACTAGTACTGCCAACACTGTATATATTATAGTTAATGAGTACACAAAATAAAATAAATTACATAAACAAGCGTGTTTATGCATACATTTAAGTTGTTTATTTGTCACATTGTGGCCTCTGTTAATGAGGATTATTTCCTTGTAGCTGACTGACAACTGTATGGATGTGTGGATCAAATGTAAGCTGACAGCATGCATTCACAGAATATATCATTTCTTATTGACTGAGAAGCTCATCAAGTTATCCGTCACAGAGGCTGACCATCTACATTTCAGAGCATATTTAGGGAGTTTCTTCCCTCCCACTGTCATTATTATCAAATGCAAGAGAGAGTAAATAAAAATGTGACAATAAATGACTATTAAATATAAATATATTCATCCATCCACATTTAATTTGCAACATATTACCGATTTTCCCTTTCTTATGTGCTTTTGTCAATACTCATATGTCACCCTTGAAAGTCCATACAGAGGACTCCATCTTGAGTCGAACACTGTCAGTCCTTCAGGTACTTAGCTAATATTGACAAGACACCCTGTTTCCATCTCTTCAACCAAATCTACAAAGCATGTATCATTTCACACCATTAAGCCTGAAGCAAAGAAAACTCCTCTCATCCTCATCTCTCCTTCCTGCAAGTCTTCCTCTGATGGTGAGTTTCCTGGTTGTTTCCTCTTTGAATTCATCAACACACAATCCTCTAAGATCATGTGCTCAAGTTTTGATTGATTAATTATTATATTTATAGAGTTCGGTAGTACTGTTTTAGATTACAGCACACCCAGTGAAAAAAACAGTCTAGAGTTTAGTCAGTTTGCATTTTAAAAGCACTGTATCAGATTTGTGTTATGTGTATATTTTTTTCCCAAGCACTCAGCTTGTTGTAGTTAAAAAATTATATTTCAAAATCATAATCATCTGGGTGTTTCTCAGACTGAAACTCAGCTTGCCTCTTGCCCAGTGCTTTTGTCATTCACATATTATCTCAGACTCAGCCTTCTGGGAGGCAAATGGCAAGAAAACCACTATCAAGCACAATAAACTGTCTGGGATTATGCCGTTCAGTTCATTGCACATTTTTCCGCTTATTCAAGCTTTATATTGACATTAACATTTTCAGTTGTGTGTTCAGCTTGATATGATCTAAATGTTGGCTGGGTGTTTTTACGACAATGGACTGGTTGAGCTGAGAATAATATCGGGAGATGCGTCTCCTCTCATGCAGTGCAGTCATCTGGCAGCTATAATAACTGCCAGGAGGAGGCGCTTATCTCACATTGTGCAGAGGCATCACTGAGGAACTGAATCACAAAAATAACTGTGAATATGTCCCCTGTTATCAAAACCCAGAGTGTGTGTCTTCTATGATTTAGCTGCCCTGACATGCCGCATTATGAATGACAATAGAGCCCAGTGCGGCCGAGCTGAAACTATACACTCAGAAAACATAATAAAAAGATGAAAAGCAAAGATATGACACAATTCATGCCATTTTCAGAACAGGTGTGCAATTTGTCAAATAAACAATCTCAGCTGTTAAACTTAGACACTCGGAGTGCTGCTCAGTAAATCATACTGACAATAATGATAGCAAGAGTATGTTTGAGTTTTTGTTTTATGGAGAGAAGTTCTGTTCACCCCGCTGGCATGTTTATTTACAAGGGGAAGAAGATGGATGAGAGGCACGAGTCTGGAAAGAAAACTATATTATTAGAGTGTAATTACTATAATCTACACGTCTAGGTGCATTTGTTGTGAGGAAGCGGAACCATATTGTGGCACTTTCAGTAACTAAAAATGTGCTGTGTGAGCAACAATTATCCCTGAAGTTCTCTTGAATGTTTTTTCTATGTGTTTTAATTACATTTCCATATCTATTATGTAACCAATATATAATGTATGAGCTTAGATATTTGAAAAACTCAAAATAACTTTGTTTTATGTGTAAACCATCAGTGTAGAATTAAAATGATCATCCAGAGAGAATCTGGTTTGCAAAATTTACAAAGGTTTTATAAACTTTTTCTTCACTGTTGTGGTGTAGGATAAATGCAACATCCCAGAGTTCCTCCATCTGTGATTTTAAGAGGCCATGGCAAAGACTAAAAAAACATCAAGGCAAGAAGCTGATGTTAATACATGAATGAAATAAATCTCAAATGATACATGTTTTCATTACTTTGTATATTTTATTGTCATAAAGTTCCCAAAAAGTGAAAAAATTGAGATGCAAACACACAAACAAACACTGGTCCTATAGAGTTAAGAAGAAGCAGTGAAAACCTTTAGGCTGGTTCCTGTAGGGGGAGCACAGTTTGACAAACACTGGATTAGCCTCTGGCCAATGGTGATGCTCAGGAGATTATTCAAACAGCATCTAAAAAAAGCTCTCCACTCCATGCTACACTCACAGACGTGTGTGGAGTTGAGCTGCCTGTTGCATACCATGACTTCTTTTTACTGGATACCTCTCCTGTTATCAGGTAAGTTGATTATTTACTCTGTAGTGAAGAATTGCACTAGACCCTGAAAAGCTGTTTTAGGGACACAGATGGAGTCAGTGCAGGTAACAGCCTTGAGGCTAAAGTACTTGTGAGGTTCAGAATTAACCGCAGCACATTTATCAGGAACAAACAAGGCATTTCGCCTGTAGCTTCTTCAGGTTCACTCAGCACAATGACATGAGCACTCACAGGTGGGATAAATACAGCTGGGTCACATAACTAATTATCAGTTTGTTCATTTTTCAAAGTGTTTTAATGCTTTTTCAAAGGTGAACACTGATCAAAAACATAATTATATTAGACAAAAAAAGTCATCATTAATATTACACAGTTACAAGAAATACAGTTTTATATGATATAATAAGAATCCCAATTCACAGATACAACTAAATAAATAGGATATGCTAAATATCTTTACACAGACTTTACTATTGGTCCTATGGCTCTACACCTAGCATAAGTGGTTTCAGCTCTCCCTAAGGGCCCAAACTGCCTATGGATACAGATGTAAGTGATTTCAATGTGCAGTTTGATTTTGATCACCTAAGATGTTCCTACAACCTACCAGCCACCGATTCCTACTATTGGCTGTAGATGGGGTGTTCTGTTCTCTGGGAAACTACTTGTGGTTACTTTATGCACGGTGATTCAGTGGAAGGGAGAAAACAAACTAAATGTATTTTTCTCTAAAACATTATCACTTTTCCCATCATTTCAAGCGTGAACCTGATTGAGGTGTTCAGGAAGAGTGTAGCTCTGTTGTTCATGAGGTGTGAGATGTGAGTAAGTGCAAAGTCACTCCTTTACTATTTGCTCATATACTTTGGCTCTGTGAGTGGAAACTCATACACTCAGTTTATTGGCATTACAGCTTTTCATTGCAAGGCTGCTGTATTCGACTGCATTAGTTTTAGCTGGGTGTACCTAATAAACTGGCAACCGAGAGTAGAGGTTGGACGAAAGACTTTATAATCTAATTCAAAAAAGACTTTTTCATGTTTGACTGTGTAAAGATGTGCCGGTGAGACAGCAGCGTATGAATATCATGATATCAAAACCTTACAATACAAAACCAGGAGGACAGGAAACGATGCAGAAGGGTGGAGAGATAGATGAGTTTGTTCCTCCTCTTTGATTGTTTATTTCTCTTTGCAGTGGCCATGGCATCTACGGGAACACGCAGGTCCCAGCGGACAAAAAGAGGGTTACTGGAGTTGGCAGGAGCCATCAAGTGTAGCACAGGGAGATCTGCCTTGGCATACATGATGTATGGATGCTACTGTGGGCTGGGTGGTCAAGGCTGGCCCAGGGACAAGGCAGACTGGTGAGGCACCGGCTTTAACCACGCTCTTCTCAAACTTGACAGATTCAAGACAGAGTTCAAGAATATATCACGGCTGGACACCTGATGGTAGAGTGTACCAAAATGTAAACATTCAATTGACTCTATATATGGCCCACCTATACATTATGTGAGCCAAAAGATGTAATTCAGTATGCAGTGGTGATGTTTAGCCTTCCACCCCACGAATAGGTGTGTACACATGATCTCCTCCTCCTGGATGCCTTTTAGTTCTTCCCAGCCATCCTACTTCCTGTTCGAGCACGCACAGTTTCTGAATGAGTTGGCTGAACCACAAATGCTGGGCGATGGGATGGAAGGAGGGAATAGTGTCCAAATTGAGCAGACTCACATGGTCCAATGGTTACTTTTAAAATAGGTCCAAAAATTCCACACCCAAATCCTAATTGCCGTCTCCTTTTTTTCCCTTCTTCGCTGCAAGACACCGAACCCCCTCAAACCAGTTAACTGCTAACTATCTGTTGTGAAAACTCATGTGGTGATGCTGGCCTGCCTTTAAAATAGCCGTGGTGTGATTTAAACCACAGAGCTGTTATCCACCTACTGCTTTCTTGACCCTGTCTTGTCTAGTCTAAGCCTTCAAAATAAAACATTTTATCACATTGTTCATCTTTCTGTATGTACTGTAGGTGTTGCCACAGACATGATTGCTGTTATGGAGTTGCAGAACATCATGGCTGCCAAACTAAAACAGACCAGTATCAGTGGACGTGTGAGGACAAGACAGCTGAGTGTGGTATTGCATTATTAATGATCATGCAAATCTTTTTGTGTTTGCATTTGGAAAATAAGACAGCTGCTGCTTACCTTTTGAGTGGTAGCACATAAAAAACATGATGCTTAGCAGTATAACACACTGATGTGGGTAAGCGTGACAGTGAGACACAGATCAGGCTGTGTGTGATCTACAAATATCCATAGTGTTTATGAAAACACTGTATGCAGACAGCTAATTAGAGGGGAAAGACAGGAAGTATACAGCTTCTACTTAATGGTAAACCCTCATAAACCACTGTAATTTCTGTATGTAAATAGCAACACCCTGAATGAGTTTTACACATTTTAAAAGTGTGTTGTTTATGATATTCTATAAATAAATACAATGTGAAACTGACTCATAATATTCACAGTAACTGTGTTTCTTTTCAGTAGCCAAATTACTCTCATTTTCTGAGCAAACTGCAGTAAATTAGGAGGCAAAATAAATACAGCTGGACTTGTTTGTAAGACTAACAACCGAAACTTAACAAGCATTAGAAGAAGTAATCACAGCAAATTTCACAAGGCTAATGAAGAAAAAAAAAAAACACACACACACAAAAAAATGCATATTTATTGAAAATCTTCTTTTCATTCACATGTTTGTCCTTTTCAGATGATTTGGAGGACAAATGTGAAAAGCTGCTGTGCAAGTGCGACAGAGACGCTGCCAAATGTTTGAGAAAAGCACCTTTCATCCGGAAATACGCCCTATGGCCAGATTTTCTCTGTGGTTACGAACATCCAATGTGTAGTATTTACTGACATAATAAATGCATCTGCATGTCCTGTGTGCCTTTTTGTAAATAAAACATGTTACAGTAATAATTGTAGTGACATTGCTTTAAAATAAGATAAGATAAGATAAGATATTCCTTTAATAGTCCCACAATGGGGAAATTCCAAGTAATAGTCAAAGACACTAAATATTTGTCTTACATTGTGTGTGCACAGTGTTGTGTTTCTTCAAATACCTTAAATATCAAGTATGTTGCTTTTAATAAATGGCAGAACTAATATTAAAACCCCAAAAAAGTTTTCAGTGAGTGAAGTCCAACATTTAGATTTTCCTGTAACTGCCTGGGAAGTCCTGAGGATTTCTGCTGCAGTAGGTTCACACAAAGTAAAGGCAACTTGAGCGTTCCTCTGTTGAAACTCAGACAAGGCTCAGCCAGAAGGTCAGATGTTAAGCAGCAAGGGAAAGATCAGATAGCCAATCTTCACAACAGTACTCTTATGTCTTGAAATACTGTGCAGTGCGTTGCCTGCCTTAGAACTAAGGTGAAACGGACTCCTGTGTGTTGGGGATGACTGTGACTAGACTTCATTCATTGGGGTTTAAAAAAAGCTTTATGGAAATGTAGTGACCTAATAGGCAAACTGAGGTTTTACTGTGCTTCTATTTTAAAGTCTGATGTGACACAAGATTCTTTCCCTTTTTTTCCCCAAAACCCATGTATTAATACTTCAGCTGCATTGTCTTTGCTATTTCAGGGACATGACAGACAGCGGACTGATTCTGAGCTCATTGTAAAGAAAAGTGTAAAATTTCTGCCTTCAGTTCCTTTTAAGGTTTAAATAGTATCACAACATGGTTACAGATTGTGCTTAAAAGAACTCTCCCATGAAGTCTACAGTCACCAAATAACTATTAAATGATCTCATACACCCTTAATGTTATGCATGACCTCATAGGCTGTTTCACAGTTTGCTCTTTTCCTCGCAGTACTAAAGGAATAAGAAAAACATGTTACATCTATGACTTTTGCATAGTGTGATGCCTCTACTGCAGAAAAACAGCAGGACATTGGCTGGTTTGTAATATGTAAAGTAAAGATTTTGGCCTGTAGATGGTGCCATATTAACAAGTACTAAACCTCAAGCACACTGCCACTAGAGGAAATGAGGATTTATGGGTACACACAACAACATTGAAAGAGTTTGCACTTATTGATATAAAAAAACTCATATTGTCGTCATTTAGATTTGTAAAAAAATGATTTTATGTACTGAAGTTCCTTTAAACGAGTTGTCTGTTATTGACTGTGGGTTCGAGTGTTTTACATGCAGTAAATGACTATTTTGGTCCACCACAGTTGGTTTTGGGTTTGGTTTAGGAACCTCCTTCGGATCAAACTGGTGAAAGTCCCACTGTCAAGTCAAAGCCTTAATTTCCCCTCTGACACCCACATGTCACCATTATGTCTATAATCACAGTAAACAGAGTCCTCCCAAATGTTACTGCTCAAGTGAGTTTATACGCTCCCAAACATCGTCTGAGTTCACACAGGAAACACAGTTCCTATGCTGAATCAGTCCCCCCGAGTGTGGACTGAAACAGGAGATGTGACTGTGATGTGGTGTCCGAAGTCCAGCACTGGAAATAAGTATCTGGGTCATGGCCCACAAACACTTGCCCGATTGTGTCCAACCTTCAGCAGGAATGAGCTCTGAAGTTGTGGAAGTCAGACGCTTCATCCAAGAGGGTGCTTCAAAGCCCCACTTTCCTGTTTGTGTAGGTTGTTCTACCTCTAATTTGTGCAAATGAAAAGAAAAATTGAATGGCGCTGCAATTAAGGTTTTGCTGCACCGCTCTGCTTGCTGCAAATTATATGTCACATATTTAATTTGAAGTGTAACATGTAAACAGCCTGTATTATATGAGCATTAGGAGGGAAAAAATGCACATGCCTTGTTTTTGTGGTGCTTCAAATTTTCTTTTTCTTTGCTGAACTACAGAATGAGTCAGTGCAGCAGCTGTTTGAGTTCATGTGATCAGAAACTGAAAAATTGCTTCACAGTTGCAGTAGCCTCATCTATTTAGTATTCCTGATGGTGTAACACAAGCTGTGCTTTCTAAAGCAAAAATATTAATGCCCCAAAAGTACCATTGCAGAGAACAGTTTGATTAATCAGCGCTGACTAACATGCTTCTGACATTTCTTACTGGGTTGTAAGTGTCTGCTGTGACGTTTTTAAAGGAAAATTTGATGAATGGTAAATATCTGATTGTTTATTTGCAGCTGTCTCTTGGACCCCTGAGATTCTCTATGTAAGCAGCATGAATCCTGGTCATTTCTTTTCCCTGCTGCCTGCGAAGGCTGATGAGCTTTTTCCTCAGAGGAGTTTTCTTGCAGCACACTACTCTCTTCTCTTCTTGCTGCCTGGAAGTGGCCATTGAAGGATTTCAGCTTTTGTCTTTGTTGACGCTCTCCTCCTATATTTACATCTGCCAGTTGCTGAAAAGTTCTGAACTCTGGTCTACTCAAGTCCCTGTCCCTCACCTCAAGTTTAATTGTCGACACTCAGTTGCAGGTGGTTATCATTTATCTTCTTTTGTCTTCACAGTTACAAATATTAGTATTTGAGATCGGCTGCAGCTGACATGCGAATCCTGGTTAAAAACAACTTTGACCTCACATTAACATTTCTGAAGCAGTGCGGCGCTCTTGAGGAAATCCTGTGATTGAAGAAAATGCCGGTCGCCTATCCTACATATGCATGACAGCGTGGTTGTCACAATGAATGAGCGCATTCTTTAATCCCTGCCGGCTGAGCTGACAGAACCTGTTCCACGCTAATTGCGTCCTTTAATCAACTGTTTGGCTCCCCAGCCGAGAGCCAGATGGCACACAATGAAGTCTTGGCTTGAACAGCTCAAAACATAAACAATAACAGCCATGTGCAGAACAAAGTATGACTCCTTACCAGCATTAAGATCTGTATGCCCGTTTGGACTGCTGTGTTCAGGCGTATTGTCTGTTGTTGATTTTGATTGATTTGTTTCAAGGGTGAGTATGGTCTCCAAGTCTGTTTGTTCAGCTGTTCAGTACTGACTATGTCCTATTGGTTGGATGCATGGTTTTGATGGGACCCGTTGCATTTACTGTGTAAAAATCTCAGCTGAGTTCAGAATGCTACCACCCACACAAACAAGGAAATCAATGTGTACAGCCAACAGCAGACCTGGACCTGCTGCCAATATACTGCATTCTTTTGTCCTCCTCCTATTTTAGTCTCCTTTGTGTTTTTCGTTTTCTTTGAAGATTGTTTTCCTTTGCAGGTGGCAAAGGAGAAATTAAAAGAGATTAAAATAAAGAATTAACAAAGAAAATGATGCTCAGGACTGAAGACCTAGTAAAGTATATTCAAAAAATCGGTATTGTACAAATGAACCATATTGTAATTTTGTCCATACATTTTCAAGAGGGAAGACATGATAAAAATGTATGATAATAGTAATCAAAGTATGCTTATTATTCTGATTTTCAGTTCAGAATTAATAGGTTTAGGATAGGAACAAAAGCACAAAAAATCTGTACACAACTCAGCAGCTCATTTAGATAATATAAGATGATATAACTCTAAATCAATGATGTGGGCCTCATCTCTCATTACCTAAGGATTCCACCATAGCTATTTTATGAGATGTTCAATAAATGAAGCAGACAGAAAATGCCCCCAGGTGTATGGAGAGATGGTGAGTAATATAGGCAATATAGCCAAACAGTGTTAAATAATTTAAGAATGAAGACTAAGGTGAAGAAGTTTTAACTTTAGCTTGTAGTGACCCCGTCTAGCCAATGAGCTCCAATTTTAGAGGCAAATGTTTTTTTGCTTAGGACTGCACATTTCCTGCATTGTGCTGTTTCCTAATTGGAAAGGCAGCTCTTATTCTGCTTTTTAAACCATCTTGCAGAAGTAAGAGAGTGTTCTTCTCCAGGCCCGCACCACCCATCTGTGCCGCAAAAACACTGGGAAAAGACAGTAAAAGCTTGATCATTAAAACATAAGACACTTATTCTGTTTCTATATCTGGAATTTAAATAGGAGCTCTGATAAGTGGAACTATTTAGAAGGGCTCTGATAATTGCTTTTCTAATCTTGTTAGAGGAAATGTAATGCGACACACTCATTGTCACTAATGTGAGATTGTGTCATATGCTAATGTAGGCATACGTATACTTTTATGGTAAACGCTCCATTGAGATGGCATTCCTATCTAATATAAACTCTAGATGTGTGTGACCAACTATAACTGAATCTCTATATCAGCTAAGGTTGCTGGATTTTCAAACATTTTACCTTTTTGTTTCTCTCCATCTGTCAAGTCATCGATCAAAAGCTCAATGGCAAGAAATCCTTCTGGGGAGGAAAAAACAATAAATAAAACAATTAAGCTCTTATATTTTTTTAATATTAGTTTCATGGACTATGGGATCAGTGTTTTTTATTATTATTGACACTGTTTGCAAAAAAATCACACAGGTTACCATGGAAACAAGCTGCTGGCACTGCAGCATGAGCTTACTAATAGATGTCAATCACAATGGCCTTGACAGCGCAATACATATGAGCCATTTTTAGAGCTCACTTGAAAATCTTAGGCTATCTGAGCACAAATTCCTCATAAACAACCTGCCTTACACCTCCATACCACAATATTAAACTATCATCTGAGGAAACATATAGCGAGATCTGCTTGTGCATGAAACCTTGGTGCATTTCATTTGTTCATATGGTTAGAGCAGTTTCCTTTTGCACCATCATGAATTCTGAATAAACTTCAGAACTAGCAATTTTGCCATCTGGATCTTATTTTCAATGACCAAACGTACTGATTTATGTGCTAAATGCAGCATTTCACCTCACTGTGATGGTAGCTGGAGGCTGGTCTTTATCCACCGGTATTGTGCAGCGGATATTGCTGTGTAAGATTTTGGCAAACCACTGCACTAGCTTCTAGTTGTTTCCTTCCTATCATGTGTCAGTTCACAAAGGGTC